GGAGGATGTGGTCTCTTGATAGCACTGTTGCCACTGTAATCCAGACAACTAACTAGGCAAAGCTGCTAACTGGGACAGTCAACACGGGATGACAAGAGTTGATGGTGTGCTCTTGAGGAACAGGCTTAAAAACACTCTGCTTACAGTCTCCAGGGGCAGGGCTATAGTCCTGATGGTCCTAAGGCCAGGGGTAAGTATCTGGGTACCAGATATTTACCCTCAAATAAGTAACACATTATTTTTCATTGCTCCCCCTTTCCAGCTTACCCATAAAAAATGTGAGAAAGTTTTTAAAGTTAACAAATGCTCTTCAACTAGTGAATGGGTAAACTGTAGATCCCATGAGTACTATTCAATGCAAAAGGAATGCATTAGTATGATTCCCGTAACAAGGATGAATCTCAAATGCATTACACTATGTGAAGGAAGCCCTACTCAAAAGGCTATATCCTGCATGATTCCCTACACATGACATTCCGGGAAAAACAAAACCATAGGGACAAATAATAGATCAGTGGTTGCCAAGGGCTGGGGAACAGATTTGACTGTAAAGGGGCATGAGGGAATTTGGGGTCAGTAGAACTGTTCTATACAGGTTGTGTATCCATCACCTGAAATGTCTGGGAGAAGAAGTGTTTTGGATTTTGAATTTTTTTGGATGTTGGAATTTTTGCATTATACCAGTTGAGCATCCCAAATCCAAAAATCTGAAATCCAAAACATTCCAAGGAGCATTTCCTATGAGGGTCATGTCGGCCTTAAAAAGTTTCAGATTTGGGGGCATTTTAGATTTTGAATTAGGGATTCAGATTTAATTCAGATCTAATTCAGATTTGGAATTCGATTTGGATTAGGGATACTACTTTGATTTGTTAAGACTGAGAACCTCTCATTTTAAAATGGTGTATTATATTGTTGGTGAATTATGCCTCAATAAATCTGACTTTTAAAAAAACAGTTCAGGTTTTGTCGCTCAGATATGTCCTCTGGAAGGTGGGTATGCATGGTCATGTGTGAGCTCTTGTCATTCAGGATGGGTTTACCTCATTGCCCTGGGCTCTCCTGTGCCAAGAGCCCGACCAGTCACAACGGGTGCAGAAAACAGAAACCACTCCAGGTGTTGCAGTCAGAAAGGAATTTGATATGGGAATTAGGTGCCTATAAAATTATTAAACAGGCTGGAGGAGCAGACATCAGGGGCCCTATTAGACTTTTCTTTTTTGGAGGGGACAGAGTCTTACGCTGTCACCCAGCCTGGAGTGCAGTGGCACAATCTCAGCTCACTGCAACCTCTGCCTCCCAGGTTCAAGTGATTCTGCTGCCTCAGCCTCCTGAGTAACTGGGATTACAGGCACATGCCACCACGTCCAGCTCATTTTTGTATTTTTAGTAGAGATGGGGATTTACCATGTTGGTCAGGCTGGTCTCAAACTCCTGACCTCGTGATTCGCCCAACTCGACCACCCAAAGCGCTGGGATTACTGGCATGAGCCACCACGCCCAGCACGCCCCTTAGACTTTTAAGTTCAAGGTCACAACAATGTAGGTGGCTGTGATTCAGAGGTCAGAAAGCTGTTGCCACACCCATGGAGGTAGGACTAAGGCCTAGAACTGTGAGTGTGGCCACGACAGCTGCCTCTAAACGCTCCAACCTCCACGCCACTGCCTGCCAGCAGCATGAACAGAAGGAACTTGGTCTTCCAAATCTCACACAAATGCATCTCCCTGTAATGTGTTCAGAAATCCAACTGTAAGAAAAGTCTGGGACATGCAGCTGTTAGGTTTCCAATCTCTCCAATTGAGAAAGTAGAAAGAAAGTTAAGAGAGTGGCCAGGCGTGGTGGCTCACGCCTGTAATCCCAACACTTGGGGAGGTCAAGGCAGGCAGATCACGAGGTCAGGAGATCGAGATCACCTGGCCAACATGGTGAAACCCCCGTCTCTACTAAAAATACAAAAATTAGCTGGGTGTGGTGGTGCGTGCCTGTAATCCCAGCTACTCAGGAGGCTGAGGCATGAGAATCGCTTGAACCCGGGAGGTGGAGGTTGCAGTGAGCTGAGATCGACTGTGCCACTGCACTGTAGCCTGGCGACAGAAAAAAAAAAAATCTCCACAAAAAAAAAAAAAAAAAAAAAAAAGGAAAAAGTCCAGAGAGCTTGGTCCACAGTCTCTACTCCAATCACCATCCTTCCTGTCCTAAAGTAAGGCATATGATGAAGCGATACACCGAAAACCTTTTTCCATCTAGACTTACATTTCAGATGGTTTTTTCGTTGAAAAATAGGTAAAACCAAGATCCTAACTCATTTCATTATGGAAGAATATTTCATTTTCACATTTAGTTAGTTCTAGCCCCAGCAGAATAAAATTATAAGATTACTACATTTTATAACAGAGCCAATCACAGCTCTTTTAACTCATGTATTAAATACATACAGCTCTTTGAGCTTTTATTCTGCTGGGAATTAAACAGACTAAGCTTCAAAATGCATTACTGTTTCAGATGTAGGTTATTTTATGGGAAGCCAGAACCAGCAGAGGGGAGCTACCTTTGGTATCCCACTTATGCCCCCAAAGACCTAAAATGTTCTAAACAGTAAACCAGAAGACAATAGTTAATTTAGCTACATGACCATAATAACCACAATTCTGAAAGTTACTTTTCCCAATGACCACTCACATAAGCAACTATATTTTCTAGATCAAAAGCATTAAGGACCTGCTCATAAGGCATTTTTAACCTTTAGGAATTTCACTTCATTCTATATAGAAGTTATTCCTCCACAATGTACAGAAAGGAGGCAATAGCAACATTTTTTTTTTCCTGACAGAAAAACTATTGTGTGGATGTTGCTAGTTTTTTGAACTATTAAGACAAAAAAATGTGGCAAGGCACAATGGCCTAAGAAGAAAATTAGTGTCCAAGCTCTACTAGCTGTTTGGGTTTTGAGAATCATCTGCCATAGCACTCACTGGAAAAAATGAGGGGTGTCTTTGCAAAAATTCTCCCTTCTCAGAAAATCACCAAAACACGATTCTACTCTGTAAGACCTTCTCTGCTACATGGAATCAAACAAAATCTTACCTTGCTCTGACAAAACAATTAAGGGAAAAAATGACAACTAGAAATTAATGACTGTCTCCCTACCTTAATGAAAAAAGGTCTGGCTAGTTCTTCTTCTTCAGGATATATTATTGTTAAAGTTGAATTTGGGAATTAGGTATTTCTTTTTTTTCTCTCTTTTTTTTTTTTTTTTTTTTTTTTGAGATGGAGTCTTGTTCTGTCGCCCAGACTGGTGTGCAATGGCGTGATCTTGGCTCACTGCTGCAGCCTCTGCCTCCCGGGTTCAAGCGATTCTCCTGCCTCAGCCTCCTGAGTAGCTGGGATTACAGGTGTGTGCCACTACGCCCGGCTAATTTTTGTATTTTTAGTAGAGATGGGGTTTCACCATGTTGGTCAGGCTGGTCTCGAACTCCTGACCTCGTGGATCCACCAGCCTCGGCCTACCAATGTGCTTGGATTAGAGGCGTGAGCCACCGTGCCCGGCCAGGAGTTAGTTATTTCTTACAGATAATCGTATGCTAACTTTTTTTGCCAGTGCTACTGACCGGTGAGGCAAGGTGGGCAACAACTTTGTGTAAAAAACAACAGACTTGGCCTCAAACCTTGGGGGTCAGAGGGAACACCTATCAGAAAAACACAGAAGAAACACTAAGGAGGATTTACAAAGTCAGAAATAGTACGAGCCATAATAAGTAAGTTAGGTTTTGCCCAAGAATGCTGCTAGAAATAAGGATCTAAAAAATGATCACTAAAGATCTAATAACTCACTTCTCTACCATTCACATGGTCGCCAACTTACCTTCTAATTCACTTACACATCAGCTGCATGGGTTTCTAGACCCTGAAACTCCTTGTACATACAGAGCAAACGCCTTTCAAAAATCCACAGCCACTATTCACTTCATACCCTTCTAAAGCCTCTTAAAGATGCCCATGAAATATTTGTAGGCAGCCTAATCTGACTTTACAAGAGCTATGCTACTACATCACTGCCCAAGAATATAATCCTATGCTGCTTGGAGAAAAATTTCCATTGATAACCAAAACCATTTGATCAAAGACATTGCCTTGGGGCTTTCAACTTTATCAAATAGATTTTGTGAGTGTTCTACAATTTTCAGGTTAAAATGATTTCAATGGAAATTAAGAACAACCTCTAACACATGGTTAAAGGAGGCCTCTGCCCAGTTCAAGAGACCGTATCAAGACTATATCATGTGCATCAAAAGAACAAGAAAAACAAAAATGGACTCAGGACACAAAATAATATTGACAAAAGGAGACACTGCATTTCACTCCCCTCCAGCTGCCACTTAAGAGGCAGAGTTAGGAAAGCCGAGCCGAGGACAGATGACAGAAAGTCCATGAAGCCTCTTGGAGCCTGGTTGGTCACCAGGATCTGCAGGGACTGCTCTCCTGACGAGGCAGTGCATATCCTCGGCAGCCTGAACCTGGGCTGCAGCTCAGTGCCCAAAAGGAGTGTTGGCCATGGCCCCACGGATCCCGGCCTGGCTCAGGAGCATGCAGGAATCGAGCATGTGAGGCAAGGGCTTGTATTAGCAGGAACCACACGAAAAAGCCATTATTCAGGGGAGCGACATAATATATTGTAACTGCTCCCATCATGTCAATAAGCATCATGTTAATGGGTCTGTTAGAATTTCAGCCACTTAAAGTTAAAATGACTCCTATTTCAATGAAAATAGGAGATTCCTCATTCGTAGGATCACAATTCACCCATAGCAGCTGCCAGACACAAGAACAAGAGAAGTGCCGGGCATGCACACAGCTGATTTTGTCTCTCCAGGCAATTCTTCCATTTTTTAATTTGTCTCCTCTTGAAACAAAGAGATGAGCAAGTTACAAATATAATTACTATATTTCTGAACAAGCGATAACACAAGCCACGAATGCACTGAGAAGACTGCACGCTTACCTCTGGCTCTGGCTGTGAGGTTTGTTCATCTTCAGTGGAGTTTGGTAAAATGGCCCAGGTTATGTTGGCACTGGCTGATGGCAAAGAGCCAAGTGTCCCATTTTTCAGCTGCTCTGTGGAATGTGACTTGGGCCCGTGCCATCCCAGGATGTTTTCTGAAATAAAGACCTAGAATGATGCCAAGTATTTTCCAAATTAAACATTTATAGCTCATGAAATATTCGTACCCACTGTCTAAAGAGACCTGCTTGAAAAGGGCATGATGTAAAACACAGAGGGCTTGTTTTGAATGAAGTACCAAGTGCAGATTCTGATCATCTGTTTACGAACTAGTTTCTGTATAATATCAAGATCAGAATCATCACAGGCTGTTTCACTCCCCAACAGTGGACAAAAACAATTGCTATTTACCAAAGCCAGATAAAGGTGTTTTTCTTGTCTGTTTGTTTTTTACCTTTTAAAAAATTTCTAAATATTCACAATAAAAAGTCAGATTCTATCAAAAATAGGCTGCTCAAAACGGGGTTTGAATTCCAAGTGACACAATGGCCATGGTTCAGAAAAGATGCCTGCAGTGTGAGCACAGGATGCCACCCCTGCCCTCAGACGTGGCTTGGTGTGGCAGATGTCAGGAAGTCCCATCACCAAGGACACAGGTACTCATTCCATTCTAGCAAGGAACACTTTTACACATGGCAGTCCGGCAAACCAAAAGCCATTTTTCGAATCCTCCACCAACTCCCTGTGGGGGGAGGGGAAGAGACGTTTACTCTAATAGTTTTTTTAAGGGTCACATATTATTGTAGAATATTTTATACACCTACTAATAGAAACAAGAGTAACCAGAGGTGGATTTCTTTTTTTTTTTCTTTTTTAATACTTTCAGTTTTAGGGTATGTGTGCATGATGTGCAGGTTTGTTACATATGCATACAAGTGCCATGTTGGCAGAGGTGGATTTCTTTACCCCATAGCAATTCTGCCATTCAAATAAATAGGTCTCAGTGGGCACAGAGGCTCATGCCTATAATCCCAGCACTTTGGGAGGCTGAGGCAGGAGGATCGCTTGAGCCCAGGAGTTGGAGGTCAACCCAAGCAACAAGGCGAAACCCTATCCCTACAAAAAATATTAAAATAAGCCAGCTGTGGTGACACAAGCCTGGAGTCCCAGCTACTTGGGTAGCTGAGGTGGGAGGATCTATTGAGCCAAGGAGGTCAAGGCCGCAGTAAGCCCAACTCACGCCACCGCATTCCAGCCTTGGTGACAATGCAAGACCCCGTCTCCAAAAAAGGCAACAAAAAATAGATAAGTCTCAAGCTTAGCTGACTGACACTCTGTAGATTCTGTTCTAAGTCTAAGAGCAAGAATAAATGATAAAGAAAAATTAGGCTAAAGTAGAGAATGACTCATGAACAAAAATTCAACATTTCAGGGCCTCAGATGTTCCATCCATAAAGCAATACTATCTGTCAGCCTTTTCATTAGAATTACTCAAAGAAAAGTCTACAGGTATCCCAGACTTTCCTGACGTATCCCCAGGGGAATCCGGTTGTCAGAGGCAGATGAAGACACCGTGTATGTGCGGTGCTTATGCATCTGTATGCTGCTGTATGCAGTATTATCCAACTCAAGTGTATTTTTATGCAAAAATCTTTTTTTAATGTCAAGTGTTAGGTCACATAACTCTACTGTTAAAAGCCTCAAGTGGACCAGACACGGTGGCCCACACCTGTAACTCCAGTACTTCAGGATCCCGGCTGAGGCGGGTAAATCACTTGAACCCAGGAGTTTGAGTCCAGCCTGGGGAACATGGCAAAACCCTGTCTCTACAGAAAATACAAAAATTAGCAGGGCATGGTGACACGCACCTATAGTCCCAGCTACTTGAGAGGCTGAAGTGGCAGGATTGATTGAGCCCAGGAGGTCGAGGCTACAGTGAGCCAAGATTTCACCACTGCACTCCAGCCTGGGTGACAATGAGAGACCCTGTTTCAAAATAAATAAATTAATAAAGGCCCCAAGTGGCTTATCATTGCAATTGGAACCAAATCTAAGCTGCCTGTCTTTGCTCTATGACCTGCCCAGCCTCATTTTGTTCTCTTCTCCCCGTTGCTTAGTATGCTCAAGTTACATCAGTATATTTTTCCATTTCTCAAATGTGCCAAGTTCATGACGGTCTTAGAGTGTTTGTGCATGCTGCTCCTTCCTCCCAAAGGGCTGTTCCTCCAGTCCTTCTACATCAGGGAGGAAGTATCCTGTACCGATCCAAGAGTCAGCTAAAGTATCACTTGCTCAGAAAGGCCGTCTGGGACCTCCCTGGCCAAAATAGCACCCCAAAGGCACTCTCTGTCACATGGCCATTTGCTGTCTTCCCAGGACTTAGCACTGTATGAACTCATTAGCGCACTCATTCACTTGTCGATTTTCTTTCCTCCCTGGAATGTCAGCTCCTTGAGGACAAGAACGATACCGCCCTTGCTCACAGCAGTGTCCCCAGAACCACAAACATGTTTAGCAAAGAGTGTACACTCAATATGAATGTGCTGAATAAATCAGAGATAGAAAACTTTAAGAAGAGTGCATGTCATAGCCTCCTAAAAATTAAAAAATAAAAAATGGCCAAAAGAAAGACAGAGAATAGAATGGTGGTTGCCGGAAGCTGGGGAGTGGATGGGAGGGAATGGGGAGTTAATGTTTAAAAGGTAAAGAGCTCCAGTTTTGCAAGATGAAAAGAGTTTTGGAGATTGGTTATACAACAATGTGAATGTACTTAACACTACTGAGATGTACACATAAAAATGGTCAGGGTGATGCATTTTATGTTATGTGTACTTGACTACAATTTTTTTCTTAATGGCAAAAAAAAAAAAAAAAAAGCATCCATATAGCAGCATTTCATGTTGTTTTTTAAAAGGTAAAAACTCATAACACTAAAACCAAAGGCTAAAGATGCACTAATACCAGAACTTGAGAGAAATGTCTGCAAATAACAAGGCAGATGGAGCTGAACTAAGAAAACCAACCCAGGATTCAAGACACGACAATCTGCCATATGAGAGGCAGACAGATACCTCTTACCTTTCCTGCTGACTGATTCCTGCCTCCGAAACCTCAAACTGGATTCAGATCTAAAATATCAAACAGTTGATCTATAGATACAGGGCTGCTATTTTAAAATTCTTTATTTTATTACACAAGCAGTAAACATCCTGTAGAGCAGTTAGGAAATCTTTTAAAAGATAAAGAAGTTTGGGCAACACAGTGAGACACCGTCTCTACAAAAAATTAACAAACTAGCCAGGCATGGTGGTACATGCCTGTAGTCCCAGCTACTTGGAATGCTGAGGTGGGAAGATCACTTGAGCCCAGGAGTTTGAGGCAGTAAGCCATGATCGTGCCACTGCACTCCAGCCCAGGCAATACAGTAAGACTCTGTCTTTAAACAAAATGAAACACTAGGGGGAAGAAAAGACATCTGCTTGCCTAGGCAATCAGGACAAAGTCCCCTCCATTCTTCCCATACCTCAACTCTGTGTCTCCCTCCCCTCTATTCCAACATTATCCAGATATGGCAACGTAGGGCACAAGAGGGCAAGAAGTAGAGTCTGAACTGGCAGTGGTACACTGTATCTTGGGATAGACAAAGACCAGGACAAGACAAGAAAAGGTGGCAATGCATGCTGGGGAGCACAGCTTTCTGTGGACCCTATGGATTCAGAACATCAAACAGTCAGTGCATGAGAAAGATGCCCATCGCAGAGCAGTTCAGCTGCTTTTAAAAAATGATCATGGGTTTAGGAGGCTGGATAGACCTGTCTCGCTTGGAGATGAAGGCAAAAATATTCTTTCATGGAGTGAATAAAAAGGACTGTACAGAGCTTGGGGAAAAAAATATTCTCAAGAAGGCTAAGAGGAAAGAGATCCTGAGCAAGATGGCCGAATAGGAATAACTCCAGCCTCCAGCTCCCAGCATGAGCGACACAGAAGACGGGTGATTTCTGCATTTTCAATTGAGGTACCGGGTTCATCTCACTGGGGCATGTCGGACAGTCAGTGCTGGTCAGCTGGTGCAGCCCAAACAGCGAGAGGTGAAGCAGGGCAAGGCATCGCCTCACCTGGGAAGCGCAAGGGGGAAGGGAATCCCTCTTCCTAGCCAAGGGAAACTGAGATACACAACACCTGGAAAATTAGGTAACTCCCACCCTAATACTGTGCTTTACCAAGGGTCTTAGCAAACGGCACAACAGGAGATTATATCCCACACCTGGCCCAGAGGGTCCCATGCCCACAGAGCCTCCCTCATTGCTAGTACAGCAGTCTGAGATCTAACTGCAAGGCGGCAGCAAGGCTGGGGGAGGGGCGCCTGCCATTGCTGAAGCTTAAATAGGTAAACAAAGCCCCAGGAAGCTCAAACTGGGTGGAGCCCACCGCAGCTCAAGGTAGACTCCATCTCTGCCTCTGTAGACTCCATCTCTGGGGACAGGAGATAGCTAATCAAAAAGCAGCAGAAACCTTTGCAGATGTAAATGACCCTGTCTGACAGCTTTGAAGAGAGCAGTGGGTCTCCCAGCACAGAGGTTGAGATCTGAGAACGGACAGACTGCCTACTCAAGTGGGTCCCTGACCCTTGAGTAACCTAACTGGGAGATATCCCCCACTACGTGCAGACTGACACCTCACACCCCACACGGCTGGGAACACCACTGAAACGAAGTTTCCAGAGCAAGAATCAGACAGCAACACTAGCTGTTCAGCAATATTCTATCTTCTGCAGCCTCTGCTGCTGATACTCAGGCAAACAGGGTCTGAAGTGGACCTCAAGCAAACTCCAACAGACCTGCAGCTGAGGGTCCTGACTGTTAGAAGGAAAACTAACAAACAGAAAGGACACCCACACCAAAACCCCATCAGTACGTCACCATCATCAAAGACCAAAGGCAGATAAAACCACAAAGATGGGGAAAAAGCAGGGCAGAAAAGTTGGAAATTCAAAAAAATCAGAGCACATCTCCCCCTCCAAAGGAACACAGCTCATCGCCAGCAATGGACCAAAGCTGGACAGAGAATGATTTTGACAAGTTGAGAGAAGAAGGCTTCGGTCGATCAAAATTCTCAGAGCTGAAGGAGGAACTACGTATCCAGTGCAAAGAAACTA